CGGGTCTGATCCCAGCCAGTCTGGCATCACAGCCACACGTGATCCATCGCATAACAATGCCGCACCAGCACCAACCTACGACCCAAACCAAGCTAATAATGACAAAACGTATCTGGCAGACAGACATAGCCGAACCAACTATATCTGGAAATTTTAACTTATTCTTAATCATTCATTTCGGTAGTGAGTCTGAGTTGCCCTCTCTCCTTTCCTCTGGACTCTCCTACATTCCTTGGTCAGTGTTTGAGGGCTGGAGCAAGGTACCCCTTCCTGCACTCCCCACATCTTGAATTTGAGTAGCAACAAAAATGCCGTACTGTGCAGTTGAGGTGAATAGAGTCAGCGACAACAGATGTGAATCGTTAGTCTGCAGAATAACCTAGTGTAAGATGTATTTTGTAAATGTGGGGCTCATAAGACCAGGGGACTTCTGCGTTGTGAAAAAAAAGACCAATGTGACCTCTAAATCCAAAAGAAATAGAAGCTATTTCTCAATCTCAGCAAAGTGGCAAGAGACCATCCTAAGAACAAGGATATAACTAACATGAAGAAAACTCTTATTTAATCAGTTGGATTGTCACCTTTTCTGGGCAACAAATGTGCAACAGGAGGGATGTGATCTGAGTGGAATCTAGAAAAGGAGATCCAAAAAGGAAACACCTGTCAGTGTTTATTCGTTATGTCCCGGACAAAAGGGCTCCCAGTCTAGAGCAGTGTTTTTCAAATTGTGGGCTGTAAAATTGAATTGTTGCGTATCAACTGACATTTTAAACAGGATAGAATAGACCAGAGTGCATTGCATGAGGTGAAGTTAATTATTGTTTTGTGAAACTTTTATTTCTATTGTAAATATTTGTATATACATATTCATGTGCGTGTGAGTTGCATGTAAGCATGTGTTTCTCTCTGTGCATCTTGATCAAAAGTCTAAAAGCCACCGGTACACAGGTCTTATTTCAGCTTTCTAAACCAGTGAGTCTCAAACTTTGGGATTTCATGGAACCATAAGTCAGCCTGCAGGAAAGGAAAAATAGGGAACTGTCAGAGAGTTGCCGCATTTGGGTTTGGGTATGTCAGTTTCACTCCCTCTTTTGTCTCCATCTTACTGAAGATTTGTGAAAACAGCCTCATGCTCGCCGACCTTGGACAATAGACCGAGACATGCTCAAAGTGTGAAAAGGCAGTCCCTACAGTTATTCTCACCTGAATAAAACGTTTTTGGGGGATGCCCGTCTTCCTCTGCTCTGTGGCGGCACATCCTGACCTACCGCGTGTTCGTTACGTGATTTTGTACCTGAGGAGGTACTACCTCCAGGACAGGGAGCCAGGATGAAGGGAATGACCGCTGTTTGTTATGTGGGGTAGCTCTCTCCTCATTCATGAATACACATGCCTTTCAAATCACTGTCTCATGCCTTGAAGGGCATGAGTCAACTTGCCCCAAAACTTATCACCTAAGAGCGGATAAAAATAAATCTCAGGACCTAGAAACTGGAGACCTGAATGTTGTAGACCACATGACTCTGGTGTCAGGGTGGAAGTTCAGCTCATGGCAATTCCTACCTTTTTAATGGCACCATGATAAGTTTCCGAAGGTGCCCCCAGCTGTTTACGGTGTGGCCCACATCTTCAGATGCTCTTGGAGAACACTGCCCAGTCGCTCTTCGCTCCGGCCGATCCTTCATCCAGACATCCTCTTTCAGGATGCTGTTCAAACTTTCCGTCTCAGCACCTTAGCCCTTGCCTGCATAGGACTTCCTTCTTTCCTGACCAATAGCCAAGCTTGAGCAGACTCTGCGAGGAACTTGCCTTACTACTTTGTTTTACTTCCATCTTCCCAATGTCTGTCAATGTTTTTGTGCCCAAGAAGAGTTTCCAGAAGCTCGTCAGTCACGCCCTTCGCTATGCCATGGCATATGACAGCTTGAAGCAGCCAGCTGGCCTCCCTCTGCGATATCTCTTTTAGCAACAACTTTTTAGAGATAACAGTTTCAGATCTGATTGTAATAAAATTGCACAGTGTCTAGTAAACAGAAACCAAAGTGAGACAGCATTTGTTCAGACTCTACTAATTCATAAACTTTTAAAAGCCAAAAGTATATTGGACTCAAGTTTACCTCTGACCCGTTTACATGAAAAGGCAGGGCGGGTGGCAGGGGCGGTGGGGGGGGGGGGGGGGGGGGGGGGACGAGGGAGGTCATTAAACAAATGAGCAGCATGAATAAAATTTAAAAAGCTTGATGAGTCATTTCATTTTAAACATGTTAACACACGAATTATATGTATACAGTCCTGACAAATCCAAATTTACGTATTCATTAAAAAGAAGAATCTAATAGCGCTTTCACTTAGAAACGCTTTTCTAGCAATTAGTCCAACTTACCACACGTACTCGACAATAATATAATTGCATGTCTTTTTTTAAAAAAAATCCTGTAATTCAGATTACATTTTTCTCTAATTTCGATGGGGCTTCCTTCCATTTAAACTAAATTAGCTCAATCTTATGTCAGGGAGATTTACACCAGTTCCCTCTACTGGCTTCATTACCCTCTCTCTGCCCTGATTCTTTTAAAGGTCAGTCCATGAACTGGAAAAACTCCATCTTCCCACGTTTTCATTTCTCTTACACCCTGCAGAGGAGCGCAATTAGCAGCGCAAGATGGACATACCTAATCACCATCGTAGATTGTGGTTCCGGTAGCAGCTGCAGTGAACTCTATACGCTAGTTACAGTGTCCAAAATGCAGACCAAGTACAACTTTCATTGAAAGGGTCTTCCGCCATAGGTGAACATCAGCTTTCATAACACTCGAAAACCCAAAAGCCCATCGTGCCTCCTCTGTGCTCCTAAAGCTTTGTGATTTCTTTTTCCTTTTTTGTTTTTCTGTTACAACGCTTAGCTCTGTCTTTCTTCCTGTTGAGAGCTTCTCCATGTCTCTATCTTTGGACTTTTCCCAACTTCATCCTCATGCCTTATTGAAAGCTCTCAAATGTAGGAAACCATTAATAAATGTCTGCTGAATTGAATTAGATCATCCAGTCAAACCCTTCACGTTACACACGAGGAAACTCGGTCCCACAGGGTTGAGGGCTCAACGTCAAGCAGTTAGTGTCCGAGCCGAAAATCAAGTTCGGTTCTTTTGACTTAATCCACTCAAATGCTACATTTGGTCAGACAATCTTGGCTGTGAGCAGAGGTGAGATCCAGTGACTAAAGGATGCTGGGTTGTTTCTGATTTCTAATCATATTTTATTTTTGTATCTTCTCTGTTGTTGTTGTTTTACTTAACTGGCTTTTATTAAATACAAGGAACAGAGGGAGAAGAGGCCCTATGGTATCTTGGACTATGAGGGACAGCCATGGCCCTCCCCTCCCTCTGTTCAAATTCCATTGCATGCTAAGCTTGAGGTATAAACTGGGCAGGGAAGGAAGTTGGGAGTGCTGGAAGAGGTCAGAGGTCTGTACCCGACCCAGGAAGACTCACGGGCAAGGAGGGAGGCTCCCGGACCCCAAATGTAGCTCATCCCAAGGGCCAAGGGCTGGGGGTAGCAGAACCAGGGCCTGGACTCCAGGCCACAAAGTGAGACCTCAGTCCTGACCCCCGCCCCTTCCCATCCCAGGAGAAGGAAGGGGTAACAATGTCCACCAGTTGGAGGGTACAGGCCCCTCACTTGTGGATGTCCCAGATCCATGAGTTTGTTTGTTTGTCTGTATTGTTTTTAAAGCTGAGAATCTGAGACAATGCTAGTAAAATTACTCTGCAAAAATGTTAAAGCGTTCATTAAATTGCAAAGTGTTATCACTAGCAAAGGCCTCAGAAATCAAGTAGACAAGTTTTACAAATGAGGAAAGTCAGGCCTGAAGACACAAAGTCCCTTTTGCATTGTAATACATTCCATCAGGTTTGCCATTAATCAGGCCTGATATTATGGCTGTTGTCTATGCAACAGCCTAAAATGTTTTAGAAAGAGATACTGCCAAATATGTTTCAATAAAGCAGTCATGCTCATGAGAGCAACCAGCCAAACCCTTCCTGTCTCTGCTCTTGTCACCTACCTTTGTTACCTGGATTTGGGACTCACTCGGTATTTATTCTTTTCGGTTGGAACAGAGTCATAGCCTCAACTAAGACAACACTTCTTTGAGGCCAACAAATGTGAGCCCAAAGAGATAGGAATTTGGAATCACGTGTTTTTAGCATTCAGAGATTATTCAAGATAGTTTGAGCACTTTCCGAGGGTTGAACCACCAGGCAAGTACTTATTTCTACCACCTTTCATCTGTAAAAATATTTTAGTGCTAAGACATGTTGCATTGCCAAACTATTTTTGAGAAAAAGCATTTTTACCAATGGGTACTATATAGAAATAGCCTCAATTTAATCCGGGCTCCTAAATTTTAACGTGAATGTGTAGAAATTACAAAACTATGATTAATAGGTAATTTGTAGAAATCCATTATGTTGATGTTCATTAACTCAAAAAATAGAACGGAATGAGAGGAAATGGTTTTATATTTCTACGACAGGGATTTACATTATCTATGAAAAAGAGTTTCCTGACAAATACCAGACTTGGTTACCAAAATGGTTTTGGAATTTCCTTCTTTACAGCTCTCAAATTAATATAACTTCCTTTTACGGCAGGGTGAGAAGTTTTTGTTGTTGTCCTCGGTTTTTGTTTGTTTGCTGAACAGAGAACAAAATTGTATGACTTCTTAATGTCTCTTCGTCATAATGCTTCAAGAAACAAATTCACAAAATCGACTTCAACTCACTGAAAAATAAGCCCTATTAAACTCTGAAACAGGTGAGGACCAGAACCTCCAGGATTCCCTTCACAGGCGGGGAGGCGGGGGTGGGGGTGGGGGTGGGGGTGAAAATTAAGATTCCACTAACTGCAGCAGGAAGGAAGAGAGGGAAATGCAGGAGGAGGAGGTGATCTATCTAGTTGAGGAAGGAAGAGTGTCACATAAATCTGTTCACCTCACAGTTCTGTCCCTAGCACTGGGCCTCCCCAAATATCAGTTAGGTCAGAAAAAAATAGTGGAACCCCTGCCCACTTCCTTTAAGCATTGTTTCTCAAGGTCTTACAGTACCTTGAGACAACATACATGAAAAGCTCTGTACTACAAGCATTATTATTACTAAGTTGCTCTTCTAATTTAAATCTCTTTGCCTCAGTTCCTGTTTGCTTTAGGGCTCTGTAATGAGAAAAGCAAACGCTAAGGTTTTGTGAGGTTAAGGGGTTTCCTGAGATTGAGAAGGGACAACTTCATTGCTGCATCAGGCATTTGCCTTGTATTGTCTTCCACTCGCTTCTTGTGCGTAAATCTTGCTTTTCCCCAAACGCTGAACTTCTCCATGATAAAAAACCTTGATATATATTTTCTTGTGTTGTCTGAGTCTGTGCTGAGCATGTAGCAACTCACTTGAAGTAGTCAGTCCATTGTTCTGTGGGGAAGGCTGGGGCACCCGCACGTACTTCCTTTGGACGTACCACAAAGCGCTCTGTGAATGAGCAAGTCAGAAAGGGGCCCAGAGCAAGTATTAATTTGGAATATTTTGAATTTTGAATATGGCATTTGCAACACAAAACATGAACATATTTTTGGAAACAAAAATGAAATCACATCTTCGAAGCCACAAGGCGAAACTAGACTGTTACATTAAGAGTTTTTACTTATTCGATGCATATATTTCACACATACGTTGCTTACCATATTACAGGCACTGGTCCAAGCAGTTCGCAAATGTGAACTTATTTAATCCTTATAAGAACCTACAACAATTAAGATAAGAATTATTATTATTTGCATTTTATAATAAAAACTTGAGGCCTAGGAAGGAAACGTGATTTGGCCAAAGTCACAGAACCTTGGTGGAATTTGAGCCTGGGAAGTGTGGTCTGAGGGTCCACGCTCTTGACCGTTATTCTGTCTGCAAGCTCATCAGCTGTGCAGGGGCAGAGAGAGAGAGAAGGAGGGCGGGGGGAGAGCTATGCGAGAGCAAGAAAGAGAAAGAAGAGAAGCCATCTTCCACCCTCAATACATTCATTTCCATTTCTGCCCCCAAGTCAATTTTGTCACCTCCTAAGTAAAGTACAGGGGGGTGAGGGGGGAAGAGGGGTAAGGATCAGTGAAGCACACATCCAATCCTCCGAAGGGCAGCATTTGGAAATGGCCCATATCACTTGTGCTTACATCCACTGATGTAATGGCACATCACACAGAAGAAGGCTCTCTCCTCTCACCTGGATTCCCCGCAACATATCTCTGCTCGAATGACCCTGTAACAAAGACTTTCTTGACCACGCTATCTAAGGTAGTGCCCTTGTCACCCTCTGGTCCCTTATTCTGCTTTATTTTTCATCATAGTACTTACCACTGTCTGACATTACCCTGTATTTTTATCACCTGTCTCCACTCCCCCCTCAGAGCATAAGCACCATATAAACAGAGACTTGTCTCTTGTTTGCTGTTATATTCCTCGTACCTACCTGCTACTCAGTAATATTTGTCGATTGGATGAATGAGTGATGAATAAACAATGTGCTAAGGCATCCCCCTGCCTCTGATCTTGACAACAAAACAAGATGGGAAAAAAAGTTTGGTTATCTTAACTGGCACCAGAATTCTTCTTAGGAAGGTAGGAAACTATTTTTTATGGTAATAACAATATACCTCTTTGAGGTAAAGGGTAAAACCCAAGAGCCGGTGTTTCAGTAAAATTTCCCTTCATGAAATAGAATGTGGAGGTAAGGAGAAGACGGGGAGGCATAAAACTGGGAAGAGAAGAAGCAAGAAGGTGTCACAATCCTCTTGACAGGGACCCTGAAGTTGCATTACCATTCACTACACTCGTGAATGCTTTGTGTAAGCAAGTTCTGTGATGCTGAGGGAAGGGCTGAGGTTCATGACCGGGCAGGTATGGAGTCGTACAGAAATGGCGCATTGGGAAATGGGAGTCTAAGAGGCAGAGAAGGCCTTGAGAATGCAAAACCTCCAGGATTTCCAAAACTTGCGGCATTCCCTAAATGGCAGCTCAGGGGAGTGAAGCAGAATCTACCTTTTACGTCAACGTTATATATTATTTAGGCTTCATCACTCATTTATACAGGATTCCCTTCTATGTTGCTGTATTTCACAGCGACATCACTGATAGGTTATACGGGGACTTTGGTTGGGAGAGATTAGGGTTATGTAAAATTACGCTTTTCGTCATTAATATTTCCAGTGAAAGCGAACGTTTAATTCCTCTCCATTGCCTCAGCAAAGGATAAAAGGACCTGCAGGCCTCCTACAAACTACACCTTTGCTTTTATCTGCACCCACTACAAGATGCAGTGCAGAGGGAAGCCGGATATGGTCAAATGATCATTCACCTTCACAAACCAAAAAGCTAACCTGCCACAGTCTCATGGCAGAAGGTACGTGACTCCTGGCTCAGAGACAAAGACTTTATTATTCAGGGCCCAGGACGCAAATAAATGTCATGTTCGCATCAGTTCCCTTTCCCTCCCCTCCTCAAGTCACACGGGGGTGATGCAGAGAGGCACATCGGTAGATCCTGCACACGTCATGGATTGGTAGCCCATGTGAAGAACCCCAAGTTTAGGAAACTCCAATCTTTTATAAAAAGCTACAGTCTGGGGCACCCGGCTGGCTCAGTCAGCTGAGCATCCAACTTCAGCTCAGGTCATGATCTCACTGCTCATGAGTTCGAGCCCCGCATCAGGCTCTCTGCTGACAGCTCGGAGCCTGGAGCCTGCTTTGGATTCTGTGTGTGTCTCTCTCTGCCCCTCCCCCTCTCACACGCTGTCTCTTCCTACCACCCCCCCCCCTCAAAAATAAATAAACTTTAAAAAAAAAAAGCTACAATCTGCCTGACCTTTGCCCAAGAATCTGCCCACCCCTTGCTTTATTATACTGGACATTAAGTAATCTTACCCTCTGCTCCTTCTCCATCCTCTGCTACTATCTCTGTTTTCCAAGGTTGTTCACTCTTCATTCTTGAAAATGTAGTCCAGAACAAAAGACTGTCAGTATAGCTGCTCAAAAGACATTCATAAATATAAAAGATCAAGGGAGAATTCCTGGCTTCTTAGCCAGGAGCTACCCACATAAAGGAGACGTCACAAGTATATGGTAGGTGGTAGAAAGAGTTTTCATCAAGAAGAATAAAAAGGTGAAAATATTCCTCTTCCTCCTTGAAGACACCTTCCTTTTCCTTTCTTTTCCTTCTCTCCTCTTCTTTCCCTGAGAAAAAAAACCAACATGTCATCAGGTTCTTTCTTTTCATCATGTTAATAGAATCATACGACCTCCTGCTCAAGAGGCAACTCAGCCTTTGAAAGGCTTTGAATACCACTATGGGGTTCAAAGGAGAAGATATATGGAGTGGCCAGCTTAGCTTCTCTGATTCTCTAGCCATTGAGGAGAAGGGCTTTCTTTTCTGTGGGATCATCATTCTCAGACTCTTATGGTTGTCACAGTAGTAAGACCAAGAATGAAGGATTCTTGGCCTTAAGAGTTTAAATGGAAAAGGCCATATGAGTTTAAATGGAAAAGGCCAACCAAGAAGGCCATTGAGCTGCCTCTGGCACAGAGATTATGCTAAAAGATTAACCAAACCTTACTGAGTCAGTTGGAGGATTTAGATCCCTAATCATACCCTGTTGTGACTCACAGTACCCCATTCCAGCACCAAACCTAATGTCCATACCCCATATTTGTCTACCTGCCTAATTTACTATCACACCAATTCTTCTTAAACAGGTCCCTTTCACATGTTCAGATACCTCTAGGAGACTTCTATATGCCATTGTATCAAGTCTATTTTTTTTAAGTTCATTTATTTATTTATTTTGAGAGTGAGAGCGTGTGCACTCACGTCGGGGAGGCGCGGAGACAGAGAATCCCAAGCAGGCTCTGCACTGTCAGAGCTGAGCCCAACACGGGCTCAATCTCACCAATGGAACCATGAGATCACGACCTGAGCAGAAATCAAGAGTCTGACGGTTAACTGACTGAGCCATTCACGCGCCCCTCCATTGTATTACCCAATTATTACCTAATTTCTAAGGAACACATTAGTATGTAATGAGTAGACTTAATTTTTCAAAAATGTCTTCCAAGAGTTGATTGCTAAATGTCACTATTTTCTCCCAGACAGAAATAGGACTTAATTTAGGTCAACTAAACGGTGAGTGTGGCTACTCAGGGTTACCTCAAATTCCAACCTATCACCAGTGCTTTCTTTTATTGCCTTTGCTTTTCCCTTGTACAAACTTTTGATGCCCTTAGAATTTGTGTCAAAGTCATTATGTACTTCCATGCCATTTTGCACAGGACAGGTCCCCATTACACAGCTCCTCATAGTCCCCATTGCTTATAAAGTTGTACGAGAAAGCAAATTACATCACAACATAAAACTATTCACTTGTGATCACATATAAATATAATTTCCAAAAGATATACTCCAAATCCATAAAGATGATTACTTCTGATAAGAGGTGAAAGCGAATGGGATGAAAATGGTGATGGAAAGGGCCCTCAGCTTTATTCATAATAGAATTTTGAAAGAAGAATGTATTCTTGTTGAGGTGGATTGTTTCCAAAGATGGCTACAACAATCTGTCCCATGAGGCTTACCCTTTATCCTGGGCCTCTGCTGCTCCTCTCATAGAGAGGGGGAGTCTATTTCCTATCTCCTTGAATCTGAGCTTGGTCTGTGACCTACCTACTTGGACCAATAGAATGCGGTAGAAATGACAAGGGAAGAGTTCCACAACCTAGCCTTAAGAGGTCCTGAAGATTTTGCTTCCACTCCCTGGGAATCCTGAGGCACCATGTAAACAAGTTTGGCTTCCCTACTAGAGAGACTAGAGGCGAGTCCCTGGAGGCTGAAAGATGGAGGAGAGAGAAATCCCAGCATTCTAGTCAACCCAGCTAAAGAGTCAGACATGTGACTGAGACCATCCTGGGATCCATTACAGGTGAATGAGCATGTCTAACCAGATGACCCATTCTAACTGTGCCCTGCCACATCAATCACAGAATCACGAGGACATAAAAGTCAATTGTCATTTTCAGCCACTGAATTTCAGGCTGGTTTGTTACATAGCAATAGACAACTGTTATGTTACTTGTGTTAGCAAAATTACTTTTAAAAAAATAAGCCCACATGCAAACCTTTCTTCCTATCTAACAAGGAGCCTCTCTCCTCTCCCCACCTCAACTTCATGTGTCTAGTGTCTCCACTCATCTAACTGATGACACCATGTCTAACAATGCAGTGCAAAATCAATGCAAATCAATGCAAAATCAGGGCAAAGTGATTATAATGTGAAACTGAAAATCTTTCAAAATACGTAAGAAATCACGAAGTTGATGAGGGTAATGTTAAAGAAACCCCTGAATCATGGACAACTCCTCTGACAAACAAGAATCTGCAGCTGGAAATAGTTCACATTTAAAGAAGAAGAAAAAAAACCCATGCAGATGATGAAACAATAAGTGCTTCAAAAGGGAATGTTTTGAATGTCAAAATTTAAGAGAGGCTCTCGGAAAACTGATGAAGCCCTCAAATATTTTTGCAGTAATGACCCTTTTTATATTTGTCCACAGAAGTCAAATGGGAAAGGACATTGTATCACGATACTGTATAATTTTGTTAGAAAATCATGCTTGTCAAAGTCAACATTTAAAAAAAAATTTTTTTTAATGTTTATTTATTTCCGAGACAGAGAGGGACAGAGCATGAGAGGGGGAGGAGCAGAGAGAGAGGGAGACACAGAATCGGAAGCAGGCTCCAGGCTCCGAGCTGGCATCACAGAGCCTGATGAGAGGCTCGAACTCATGGACCTTGAAATCTTGACCTGAGCCAAAGTCGGACGCTTAACCGACTGAGCCACGCAGGCGCCTCTTATTGTCCCAATTTTAAAAGTGGATTTGGGGTACCGATTATCTGAGGCAATTGGGGTCTCTGTAAATATCTTCATCTCCCTAACTAGCGGATGAGTCTTAGAGAATGCTTTACTAATGTCCCCTGGATAGTTCATCAAACCTAGAACTAAGCAGATAGCGGGGACTCAAAAATTCAATAAATGTGATGACAAATGACCTGCCGATTGATTGGCTGACCTGTAGATTTTGCCACCAAAGAACAGCACTTTTCCATTATCAATCCCTGACCCAGTATGAGCTGGCATTTGTTCCTCTCAAAACTGTTCATAGAAGGCCTATTACAAACTTCCTGCTGAAAGCACTTTCAAAGGCTGGATACATTTAAAACCAATTCAAGCATGTAAAGTCGTTTTAGGAAATAAGCCCCACGTCCCAAGGGCTCAGCTGAGGAGGGCCATGTTTCAGAACAGGTGTGCCACTTGACTGAACAGGAATTTGGAAATGTCAAACATTAGAAGCACTTCAGAAACTCCAACTCAAGCTGCCCGACGTTGCACTTCTGGGCACGTGTCAATAAGTGACTTGCACAGATAGGTATTTGAGAAAATCTCTCAGTGCAGATCCAGAATTAGCTAAACCAAATTGGCATGGTAGGTTCTTAAAGAGACCATACTTTGGCTTGTTTGTTTGTTTTTCCTTTTGCAATTTTACTTCTCCAAAGAAACTCTGTGTTTTAAAAACTAGTCATTCAAGGGGCGCCTGGGTGGCTCAGTCGGTTAAGCGTCCGACTTCGGCTCAGGTCACGATCTCACAGTCTGTGAGTTCGAGCCCCGCGTCGGGCTCTGGGCTGATGGCTCAGAGCCTGGAGCCTGCTTCCGATTCTGTGTGTCTCTCACTCTCTGCCCCTGCCCCATTCATGCTCTATCTCTCTCTGTCTCAAAAATAAATAAAAACGTTAAAAAAATTTTAAAAAACCTAGTCATTCAAAAATTCACCTTCTACTACATGATAACTGCCCATAACAGCATGACATATTTTAATATTCCTTAAGTTCAGGCACTTGCAACTTATTTTGCACCCCCAACCGCAAGAGTCATAAGAATTGGGCTACCTTCCTTGCCCTTATCAGGGTTACTTCCATCCACCTGAAAATTAAAAATTAACAGTGCAAGCTTGTCTGCAAGTACCTTTTAAACTTGGCCCCTCCCGGTTGGACACCATTCCTTCTGCAGCCCACCAGTCCTTCTAGGGCAAGTGCAAACAATACTTTCCGTTACAATAACTTGTATGCAGGAACACACACACACACACACACACACACACACACACAGGCACACGAAGCAGTGTTTCATCTGTAGCAAAGCAGCCAGAGAAAAGTTTACTGGCTCTAGCCAATTGGAGGCTGTGGAACTGAGCCAAATTAGCATGTTTTTCTCCGCCTCTAGATGAAGTCATGATTGAAACATGGCCTTGAACTTCTTTCATAAAGGGATAGAAGAGTAGGAAAGAAAAGCTAAACCTGCAGGAAAGTGCCCCGTGCCGAGAACGCGGTTAGGAAGTGAGCGCCTGCTTCTGAACCCTGAGTGGTTCTCAGTTCTGTAACCTTCGCCTCCCACTGGGTGGAGTAGGGCTTTTAAGAGCAGCTGGAATGCAGTTCCCCTGATCAGTGTAGCCAGTTGTTGCCTGTCTGAACCTCTGCCAGTCCTGGAGAGCCGTGCTCTGAGCTCAAGCCAGCAGGCCTCTTTCTGCCCGCTCGCTGCCGTCCTTCTTGCCGGAGAAGAACGTTCCCACCTGTCCAGCCATGGGGGAGGACGCCGCCCAAGCTGAGAAGTTTCAGCACCCGGGGTCTGCCGTGTGGCAGGAGAAGCCAGCCAGCCCCAGCCTCGCGCCCTCTTCCACGCCGAGCCCCAGCCTGAACCTGGGGAGCACGGAGGAGGCCATCCGGGACAACTCGCAGGTGAACGCCGTCACGGTGCTCACGCTCCTGGACAAGCTGGTGAACATGCTGGATGCCGTGCAGGAGAACCAGCACAATATGGAGCAGCGACAGATCAGCCTAGAGGGCTCCGTGAAGGGCATCCAGAACGACCTCACCAAGCTCTCCAAATACCAGGCCTCCACCAGCAACACGGTGAGCAAG